CATCGCTATGCGGATTCGTCGTTAAACGGTGCGCTCGTTAAGTGAGGCACCACTGTACTTGGAATACAAAGACATGTGGAACCCATGGCAAAGTATAGTCTGTGATAAAATAGGGGGCTATGTGAACTGGCCAAATATGCTAGTAAAGGAGAGCTCTACAATTTACATAATAACCATGCCAGGACAGAAACAACAACATTATAAAAAATTATTTGTACCAAATTAGACTTACTTTGTGCTGTTTTTAACTTCGTTGTTTTTAACTCCTGCAATATAAAATTTCTCCTGACTGATATTTCCAGTTGAGAAATTGACTGTCAGGAGAGGGAAGCCACTCTGACAAGTCCAAGTATCCATGATAACTTTTACTGCTGCTGGCAACTGGACATCATTCTGCTCATCTATTACCTTCGAGAAAGGGTATGGATTAGAACACAGTTTTGTTTTCATGATACAGTGAGTATTTGAAGTGACATGAACCAGTAAATAAATGATCCCATTGTTTTTTAGCATTTAACTTATGATACAACAGGGGAGATAGATACATTTTGGAGATAAACGTCTATATGTAGAATCTGGCTTGGCTCAGATTCTTTAAATACTGGATGAGAATCTGTTTCTTCTCAGCCCAGGACATCCTATTTCAAGTGCTGCTGACAGTATATTTCCAAAAGGTTTGGCCCTATTTCTCAAGAAAATCATGACCCTGGGGTTGTCACCAGATCTGCTGGGTTCAATACTCCTATCCCCAGGTATTCCATACAATCAAAAATTGAGTTCTGGATATTGAGGTGCAAACCCTGCATAGCGCTGCACAAAGGGTCTGTTCCCTGCTGTATTTTCAGTTGCCCCTCTCCCATGGCAGAAGAACCAAATTACCTCTATTTCTTAGAGCATCCCCAAGACTGATGGGCATTCACCCTTACTCGATCCAGTATTGTACCTTCAAACTTAGCACAGGGCAAATTTATGAGTTTACCCACAAAATTGAGAATTTGCCCTTGTGGTCAGGGAGTGGTTGAATCCTTGCAGCATATGTTGTTTTACTGTATCTTGTGTAAGGATATCTGCCTGTCTTATCTGAGTACTTTCCTTTCCTCCCATTCTGGATGGGACCTGAGAAAATTTCGACACCTCCTAGGTGGCACTATTAAGGAACTTATCCTGATAACAGTCAGATACATCTACTTCATCATGCAGAGGTGACGCAGCGTGCTGTCACAGAATGATGGGCCCTAAATATGCATTTGGCTGTTCCCTGCCACGTTAGTTGTTGAATGTTTTATTTGCATTTTAGTGTGTTTTAATTCTGTACAGTATGCCAATAAATGTTTCTGTCTTTCTTTAAGAAATATGCATTTGGCTGTTCCCTGCCACATATTAGCTGTTGAATGCTTTATTTGCATTTTAGTGTTTTTTAATTCTGTAGAGTATGTCAACAAATGTTTCGTCTGAATGTCTATAAATAAGATTCTCCTGACCTACAATGAGCAGCAACTAAGACTCTGACACAGAAGAAAAATAATGGACTGAGTCACAAAAACCAGCAATACAAGTCAAGGGGATGCTGAACCCAGATTTGGATAAACTAATGCTTATCATATGGAAGCCCAAGGATCCAGAATCTTTCAAAAAGGACCCCCCACAGATAGCAGCTTCTGAACCAGATTCCCCTATGGAAATCTGGCCTTGCACACTAATTCTTTAGGATCTGCTTATCAATACGGTTTGGGAGGCAACAGAGCACTGGACTTCAAGCTAGAATATTACTTTTAAGAGTCCTTTTAGGGGGAAAGATATCTGGAAGGATAATAACCATGCATCGTCAATTCTGATTTGAAGTGACCCTTTTCAAGGTTTTCTGAGTCTTAAGATGTGGTTTACCATTCCTTTCTTCTTGGGAGGCAGCCTGGGACGGTGCAGCTTGCCCAAGGCCACACAGGCTGGCTATTTCCAGAAGAGTTGCTCAAGGCCACACAGGCTGGCTCTTTCCAGAAGAGGCTCAGTGAGGAATCAAACTCTCATGTTCTGGTTCTAGAGCCAGATATCTAATTGAGAGACATCCAGCCAATTCTAAAAGGACAGTCTGAGTAAAATCAGCATTTTGTCAGACATTTTTGCCAGGGAAAGTAGTCTGGCTGGAGCTGTCCAATGTACTGAAACTCCAGTCTGACTCAACCTCTGTTTTAGAATAAGTACCAAACTATATATAACTTTTAAATCAATCCAAGTAGATTTCAAGCAGATTGAAAATGGGCATTCATTTTGATACTGAGACAAATGCAGTGCAGTATCTGAAATACTTTTATGTGACAAGAAACCAAAAATAAGGCAAGGGAAGGCAACATTGCTAAAACAGGCCATACAGTTGGAACATGACCATTGTTTGGGTGCTCTTACGAAGACCAGCCTGTTACTGAGGAGAGAGTTATCAGCAGCACATTGGTGTCATCACCAGGTGACAGAGACTTGTCCCCTAGCATGGTACAAAAGGCAGTGAGGAAAAGCAGGAAACTGGGGTCAGCTGAGAGACCAAATTTAAGAGAGTGGCCACGTTTAAGGCCTTTTGTTAGAACTCAGAGAAATATCTTCCCATTGTGATTAAGACTCTAGTGCTCCCTATAAGTACTGTCGCTGCTTCTCAAAATTACACATTGATATCACCTTCTCTAGGCGATGAGACTGTCAATCGCAGGTGGACTCAAGACTTCTCACTGTAGAGTAAAAGTGCCCCTTAGCCTAGGTACACCTACAGATATCCTTGATATTAGATACAGCCATTCAATGTTGGACTTCAGCCTCATGTAGTTTCTAACTATCCCCCTCCCTGTTTCCACATGTGTTTTCAATTAGCTGTTGATTAGCTCGTACACAAAATGGCACCATGAATCAGGCATAAGCACAACAGAAGCGCAAAGAAGTCTCTCCATTTGCAGAGACACATGGTCTGAGTTGGGAACACATTGAAGAAGCTCAAGCAATGGTTAGGTTCAACTCTGAACTCAGACTAGTAACACAGCCAGCCACAAAGTCCATAATAAGACCCTTTTTACAGTCAAATGGGGCACAATTCTTATAACTACTAGCAAACCTGTTGTAAGTTTGAAATACCTTCTGAATGTGGTTCCATAGATCATCTTGGATGGCATTTGAAAAAGAAAATGCATTCAGATATGACTATAATAGAAAAAGGCATCAAAACTGGATCAGTCATTGTGGTGATATATTTGAAAAAACAAAAACAAAATGAAGACAAAAGCGAAATGTTCAAAATTCTGAATGTTTTAGAAATAATTTTTCTTAACTCACACTGAGTGCTTTGATAAACAGTCTTTCAGTGGTAAAACTGGAAAGCATCCGGATGATGGAAGCCCCCTAAAAATATATATATGTATATATATATTTTATTTATTCATTAAAAATATTTTTATCCTGCCTTTCTCCTTAAAAAGACGCAAGGTGGCTTACAGAATTTAAAAGACAATACTTAAAAGCTAAAAACAGAAAGTATACACATATTTTAAAAGAATCAAACAAGTATATAAAAACCAATAAAATCAACACTAAAAACACATTTAAAAGCAACTTAATGTATGGGAGATTGTTAATTAAGACATCAGTTATACACATTACATCAATACAGTGTTCACAAAGACTGATTATATTACGCATTATAGCAGATGCACCCCACAATTGTTCCCTGTACTGTTATTTCCTACATGCCACGTTTGCCATTCCCTTCTTCTGGAGGCACCCTGGGAATGTGCAGTTTTCCCAAGGCCACATGGAATGGTCCTATTCACATGAAGCACAGTGGGGAATTGAACTCCTAAACTACTGAGCTATCCAGCCATCACAGAACAGTTAGAAACACTCCTTAAACATCTCACATACATCCTATTAGGGATGCTAATCGGTTCTGACTTCATGGCACATAAGCCACACACTCTTTAGAGGGAAGCACATCATTTGGAAACCAAAGAATATTGTTATTTAAGGATGAATGCAAAATATCTTATAAAAGCAGTGGTCCCCACTGCTTTGTGGTGGTGGTGGTGCACATGTGTGCATGGGTGGGTGGGGCACACTCACGGGTGGACATAGCGCACTTGCGAGGCATGCTAGCGCACATGTGCGGATGCACGGGGCATCCATTCATGCAGGTGGGTGGGCCATGAGTTCATGTGGGCATGCGTGGGAGGGAGTGCATGCGGGGGGACAGGATCTGTCTCCGCGGCCTGGTCCTGCCAAGGCCACAGACTGGCAGTGGGGCGTGGACCGGGGGTTAGGGACCCCTGTTATAAAGGACAGAAATTAGTTTTTTAAAAAATTCACAATTGACAAGAATAATTTATGAATCACTTTTAACTATAAATCCAGTATAAAAGTCAGAAATGTAGCATGAGTTCTGAAATTTGCTCACTGCATCAATCCTGTCCGGAAATCATACCGTTCTGTCCTGGAATTCTTTAACTCCTCATATGTGAGTGCATGGGCTGTTTCCTCAGTGGTGAAGAAAATACTGAATTTCCCCCCACCGCTAGCTTCACAGTACACTCCCACCCAGAGTGGGAGATACAACATGCAAGACATGTTGAACCAGGACACCTCTCACTAAAGGAAATGCAAAGCCACAATTCAAATTGTTTTGATTTTTTTAAAAAAAAATCTGTATAAATGATTATTTCCTTTCCTTTAACTATCACTGTTTACTCCACTGGAGTGAGAAGATCTGCATCCTTGTTTTTTATGCAAAAACTAATAAGTTCATGCTATTTTTTTCAAATATATATTGAGTATTGAACAATGTAATAATGTTTTTTTGTAAATTACCTTCCTATACGTTATAAAACCAAATAGTTCCATAATTCCATCAGTTTCACGATGTTCATGCGTGTCTGATAAAGACTGACTTAGCCATAATCCATCATCCAGTCTCAGCATAGGGAATACAATTTTGAAGCTAAAGATCTGGTCCTGAAAATAAAATACCAATATTACCACCAAAACAAAACAAAAAATCAAGATGAGCTATTCATAGGGCTATATACTGAATTCATAAATTATTTTTGTTCTCTTTCCATTCTGCTTTAAAAACATCATTTAGATATTGTATTTTATCACATTCAAGGGAATATGCATATTCTGAATATCTACCACAGGAGCCCAACATCTAGAACTGACATTTCAGAAGACCAGGGTAATGCACAGCCATTTTAATTTACCATATCCAACATCCAGTCTGCACAAACCAGCTTAGTAACATTTTGTAGACGAAATATTCATGATTCAAGGGACTATTGTTGTTGTTGTTTTGACTTCTCTCCTGCCCCAAAGTGGTGGCAAACTCTCTGGAAATTTTGCAATGTAATTATGCAAGGAACACTTTGCTCCCTAGCAATCTTACAGCTTATTACAGCTTCAGCTCCTAACATTAGGATATTAAGACAACAGATATGAGTATCAGTAAATATTTATTTAGCATTGCATTTTTCAGAATTCCACAACCATTTTTGCCCCATCCATGTTCTGTATCTGGTAGTAAAAGCTCTATTGACATTCTCACACAGAAAGACATGTTCTCAGTGTATACGTTTTATGATTTTTTTTGTTCGGCCTGGGTGCCTCGCTTAAAGATGTTAATTCGTTCCAGAGAAATCGCTGTAGAACAAAAACGTTGTAAAGCGAAATTTAAAAACCCATTGAAATGCACTGAAAACCGCTCAATGCGTTCCAATGGGCTAAAAACTCACCGTCCAGCGAAGATCCTCCATACGGCGGCCATTTTCGGTGCCTGTATAGCGAGGAATCCATCCCTAAGCACAGCGGGGAGCCATTTTAAGCACCTGTTGGCCATTTTGAAACCCCGTCAATCAGCTGTTTTGAGAATCGTGATGCGAAGAATCGGTTCCCGAAGCAGGGAACCGATCTTCACAAAGCGAAAAAACCCTATTTAAAACATCATCGTGAAGCGGATTCGTCATAATGTGGGGTAATCGTTAAGCGGGGCACGACTGTATCCATTTGTTACACATTTTCCCCATTGAGTACATTTCTGTGCATTTTCCAAGAAAGCGCATATTCAGTTATGTACATTTAATTGCATATAACTCAAAAAAGGAGACACAATCAATCAGCTGCTTGGGATTCGCCATGCCCTCATGAGAGGAAATTGAAATATATCTGCATGCTTTCTTTACCAGTTTGACAGGACAAAAACAAAAGAAATTGGTGGATGCAATTTGCTTCTCCCTGCCCACACAAGATATCAAAATGATCCTTTAATTGAGAAACCCAATGACATTGGATGGGGAAATTGCAAAACTCCGAGAAAAAAAAAATAAAGATGTAGAAACAGTGGGCTAGGGCTGAGGATTTACAGGCTAAGTTGGTATAAGTTCAGTCTGGAGGTGGAAGCTCATACCAGCACATGCAAGTCAACTATTACAAGAGCAGGTAGGAAGCTGACACAGAGCTCAGACTGTAGACAATTAGTGGACTATGCTGAAAGCATCTTGCTAGAGGAATCTCTGAAACCTGGACTTATCACTGCAGAGTTCCCTTTAATTTCAAGGCACTGGAAATAAACCAGAATTTGAAAAACATATGTATGGAAAAGCTTGTATTAGTTCACACCTACCAGTGACATTGTGGGTTCGATATAATGTGCACCTAGATATTCAAGGTAAGATGCAAATCCCTCGCTCAGCCACAAGTCGTTCCACCATTCCATAGTAACCAGATTTCCAAACCACTTAAAAACAAAGAGAGCGAAAGTCTTTAACACATTCTTTCAATCTGTTCTTCTCATCCACCTGGCTAGAAGGACAGGGTTTATTTAACATACAAATATATTCACATCCATGCAATGCAGTATGCCTAGACTTTTTTAAAAGGTATGTTGTAATGTCTACTGATCAGCAGGAATTTAGGAATATGAAACTTTTAAAAGCAGTAAAGCAGTCACAACAAATATTGTTTTTTGAGCTGTTGTTTGCATTTCATATGAAGCCTCCATTACTGTCTGCAGAAGATGGATGTCCTTGAAAGGTAAATTTGTGGAACTTTGAAGAATTACTATTCATCCAAACAAAAGGGAGTCGGGAAACAGAAAATTTATACTCTGTTTCCCCTTCCCCATAGTCTGATTCCCATGCTGCTCAGGCATTCCTGCAGCTGCTATTTACATAACAAAAATTAATTGTATTCATACAATTAGTTGTCAAATCTAGTTTGTACTTAATTTTTTCTACTTTCCTTAATTAGAAAATGAATTTACATATTTTAGTCTAAATCCAAATGTTACTCCCAACTAGTAGACCCAAAGAATTAATTTCATGAGGGTATGTCAAGACTTGTGTAATACCAATTGATTCAGTAGTTGGAACTCATAATTGGATTTGTGCCTTCATGTTCTTATCCTTTATTGCAAGTGAAGAATGTCAGGGCAAGGCTTAGGACATAGCATTGCTCACATTTACAAATATGTTCCTCAAATGTGCCTTCAAATAAAATGCTTCTAATGAAAGTTTTAACAAAAAGAAAAAGACCTAAAAGAGGCACCCAGTTTCCCAGTAAATGACAGGAACAATGCATGGAAAAACTGAAAACTCAAGAGGGTCATCCAAAACAAAATGAAAACAAATGTTTCCACCATGCACATGCCTAGTGACTAATAAATCCAAATAATACTAAAATAAATAAATAGCTATAAAACACTAAAATTGCCTTCTATCAGCAGTAAATGTTACATGTTTTAAGAAACTTGGTAGTTTTCATAACATATATTCATGCACATTACACTGTAATTATGAAGCTCCGTTTCACTGATAAATAAAATACATAATATTTTACCACATGCCTGGTGTCCTATCTCATGGGCAAGAATTAGAGAGATCTCTCTTTTCTTATTGGTGCCTTTATCTTGTGGTTGATACAGTAGGGATCTTTCCTGGAAAGTCATTAGCCCCCAGTTTTCCATAGCAGTAGCACTCATTTTAGGTAGTGCAATCAAATCTTCAGTGGTTTAAACAGAGAGAGGAAAGCAACTTTAACACATCCATATTCAATATTCTTCTCTACTTGCTTTACAGTCTTACAAATGTAGATGATTTGCAACTGGTGAAGCCCTCATCTGGTCCACAAGGTACATCTAGTCCCAGATTTCCAACAGCCAACAACAACAATATGATTAAAAGGGAGGTTTTCTCTGTCTGAGCATGCCATTTTCCTATATTTTTGTATTGTCTTTAATCATCTCCTATTGCTATTCATGAGGTTACAAGTCAGTATTCACACATAAAAACATTAAAAGAGTTCTGCTGGACTGGGCCAAAATTCCATCTAGCAGGCATATGGTCAGGCATAGACCCTGCTCTTCCCGTTCTTCCTGTGGGTTTCTCCAGCTCTCTACAGTGGACCCTCTACTTAAGGAATTAATCCGTATTGGAATGGTGGCTGCAAGTCGAAAAGTCTGTCCATCTAGCAGGCATATGGTCAGGCATAGATCCTGCCCTTCCCGTTCTGCGTGTGGGTTTCTCCAGCTCTCTATTGCTACTCCCTAGCAACTGGCATTCATTGCCTCGTTCTGTAACACAGTGGTCATATTTGGCCACAAGTGCTAATACCCACTGATTAACATACATTCCATGTTTTTTTCTATTCTCTTCAGAACTATTTGGCTATACCACATCATGCAGCAATTAACTGCATTAATCAGTTACCAGCTAAAGAGAGATCAAGAAGACCCTTCTGCTGTAAGAAAAAGGTTGGCAACTGTGTTACTCAAATGTTGTCAAACAGTTATTCCCAGGCGCTCTAGACAGCAGAGTCAACGGCAAGAGCTAATGAGAACTACAGCCCGGCAACATCTGGAGGACCACAGTTGTCTAACTCTGCTGCAGAACAAAAGATCAGCTTGGACCATTCTGGAGAACACTGATTACATGGAAGTTGTGCATGACCCCCAAAGCACCACTAATATTTCTGTCTGTTGAATTGTAAATTCAGTTATGAGCCACTCTGGAGATAATTTTCATTAAAAACAAAGGACAGAAAGCATACAAAACAGAAATAGAAATGCAGGGTAAGAAAGAAAGAATTGAAAGTATATTGTTTAAAGAAAAAAATGGATAAGAGATTAAAAAGATTACTAACCCTTTCTTTAAAAATATGTTAGAAAATTGGAAAACGTTTAGAGGTATATCGAGTCCACCAATCTCTCCTTTATCCCAAGTGGTGGATTTAAAGAATTTTCCAGAAAATCTTTTTAAAAACCTCTTAAGAATATATTAAGAAAATAAAGGGGTAAGTAGGATAAAAAAACTGGATGGAGAAGATGAGAGATAAAGGAAATATAAAAGAGATTTTGGAAGGAGAGGGGATTTCTTGGTTTAATATGATTCAAACAGAAAGGTGGACAAGGGAATGGAATAGTAAGGAAGGGAAAAGTAGAAAAATGTCAAAATTAAGAGATTGTTGAAAAAGGATTGAAATTAGAGGAAAAAACAGAAAGAAAGGGACTGTAAGTCAAATATATAAATTATTAATTCAGGTCGAACAGGATACACAAGGATTAAAAACACAATGGCAATATGATTTGAATAAAGAAGTAATAGGAGAAGAATGGGATAAAATGTGAGACCAAAGAATTACGAAGAACATGACTGTAAGGATAAAGGAAAATTATTATAAGGTAATATGGACGTGGTATTTAACACCGGTAAAACTGAATATAATAAATAAAAATGTATCATCACTATGCCGGAGGTGTTTAAAAGAGAAGAGGACGTATTTACATATGTGGTCACTATGTGAAGTAAGAAAGCAAGAATGGAAGCAAAATTTTAAAGAAATAAGGGAAATAACTGGATTAAATATTCAAATGTCCCCGCCAATGGCTTTATTGAATTTGATTAAGAAGGATCAATTGCTGAAAGGAAACAAGGACTTAATAGTAATAATGGTTAGGGCAGCAAGGTTAATTTTTGCAAGAAACTGGAAAAATGATAACCAACTGAATTTAAAGGAATGGTATAGAGAACTATGGGATATGGCAATTAATGATAAATTGACATGTGATATGAAAATAAGAAAAGGCCTATCAAAAATAATGATTTTAAGAAAATAAGGAGTGTATTCTTGGAATATTCTTTCGGAGAGGGAGGGGGTATACACCAAGAGAAGAAACAATGATGTTTTGAAGAGAAATTGGACTGAATAAAATTTAAAAAAGGCTAGCCCTGAGGGTGATGGTGGCACTGGTATATTATGTAATTGTATTTTATTGAGTTGTTAGGTTTATGTTGTTTAGGTTGGATGTTTGTTTAATAAATTTCTATATATATAAGAAAGCATACAGAACAACATGAATATTATTGTATATTACAAGCACAATTTTTTAAAAAAATTGAAATAATTTAACATGCAAGCAAACATACCTGTTTTCGAAAGAGGATAACTAATGTTAAATAAATCTTCCATAAATGAAAAAATTCGTCCAGTGATATTTAAAGCATATTCAGTATATCCTTTTCGAACAGCATCCTTTGAAGCCCAAATACGTATCTATCAGAGTTCACAGAAATTATTATTTCAATTACCTGACGAGAATCTATTCCACATAATAACCCATCTACAGAAAAAGACAAAAGCCCATCTCACAGCCATAAATACTCCATTCCCAAGCCAACTACACCAGAGCACAGAGTGCTGTCCTCTGAAGATGCTGGCCACAGAGACTGGCGAAACGTTAGGAAGAACAACATTCAGAACACGGCCAAAGAGCCCGAAATACCCACAACAACCATTAATCTCCCCTCCCTTGGTCAAGGTGGTTGCACACTGCATAGCCGACCTGCTGCCATGCAACCTTCCCTGTTATTTCACACCTTGTATGCAGAACATATGAGGTGTGTTCAAAAACAGTGGGGGTTTAAGTTGGCAATTGTACAGCAGACAAAGCAGACTTCTAAGCATTTACAAATTCCTAGAATTATTTTCTTCATTGTGCGACAAGTCAATCAAAAATATGCTGTGGGCACAATTTAAAGGAGGAGTTAGGAAGTTAGGGGGTAAACATGAGGTTCTTAGACCCATTTTTGCTTCATAGCTTTAATGCAGGTGTTGGAGGAATTAGCAGTGCAAATCTGCTCAACAGAACTCTTTCCCTTCCCAATTACCGTCCCTTCCAATCCCTTTCCCTCATTACCTTCCCTGCATCCTCCACCTGTTTTAGCTCCATTTCCACGGGCTCTGGCAGCTAAATTCAATTTCTAGCCCCATATAGAACAGGCTGATTGAAACAATGGGATTTACATAGAAGTAGACTTTCCACTTAGCAGTTGATTGAAGTTATTATCTACTTTAGCTGGTACAAACAACTGCACTGTGGTATTGTTGTGTCCAACATATTATCCTAACCAGAGTTGATCAAAGTTACTCTTTTGGCCTATGATCCCCAGAATTCCTACCTATTATGGGCACCGGACATCCTGGGCCAAAGGATTCTGGAACTTTTCTAAGTTCTGCAAGAAACTCACTAACAAACCTTCTCTAAAGACTGTCACAAGGGCCCAGCTGGGTTTAGTTTAAGCAGACCTAGTTATGGTGTAATGCAGTTTTGACTTGGATTGAGGAGGAGACAAATGGGGGAGTTATACATTAGTTATGAATAAAATAATTTAGTGGGCAGTATCCTACTGCTTATTTACACTTGCACAAGGGAATTTGCATAAGTCTTGACAGCAAATTGCCACTCACGAAACAGCCACTAGCTTTTCCTGGGCACATGTCCAAGTGCACGTTAGGCCCTAGACATAAATTAATATGTAATTGTAACTTTTATACCACCTTCTTTCCTTTTCTTCCTAATGTTTATATGCTGACCTATAAATTATCAGAACAGTTTAAAGTAAACAGATATGAAATAAAACCTTGTCAGAAATGCCACTGTATGCTACTGATAAAGTCTCTCATAAATTCAACAGCTCTATTCACCTCATTGCCCCTCTCCGATGTGGCAACATGATCAAACTTACAGACCACGAAAGCAGTGATGTATGTGGACATTTTTGGTGTTGTTTCAAATGTTGTCACAGTCCAATTAATCGGTGTAGTCCCATTAATCAAGCCACTCATATCTTTATACTCAGATACATCTACAAAAACAAGTAAATTAGATATTAATATCAAAACTATTCATTCTGTCAATATGATAGAATCTGAAACAAAACCCAACAGCAACACAATTAAAACAGAAAATACAGATGACACAACATAAACTGAATATCTTAATATCTGAGGATTTAGCAAATAAATTAAAATTTACAAAACAAACATATTTTGAAAATGCCAATAAAGTAGGAGATGGCTAGCATACAAACTAAAGAAGGAAAGGACTGAAAATTATATCTTAAGCCTCAGAAACAGAAAAAGGAGAACTCATCACAGGACCTAGAGAACTCAGGGAAATTGTGGAGAAATTCTATACAAAGTTATATACAGAAGAATGCATGCCATCCACAAAGCCAAAAGGAGTACATCCAAAGGAAAAATCACATCAAACTATCAAAACAACAACAGGAAATTCTGACCCAGCCATATTCAACACATGAAGTTTCACAGGCATTTGCAAAACAGAAACTGATGAAATCACCAGGAAGTGATGGGATACCTGCAGAATATTACAAAAAATTTGAAGATGTGCTGGCTACCTCTTTTTAAAAAATGATAAATGAAATACATCAAGAGGGGAAAACATGGAAGGAGACGGTCATACATAAAGAAGACATAGAAGCAGAGGAAATATCGAACTACAGGCCAATATCTCTCTTGAATGTAGACTATAAGATATTTGCAACAATATTAGCAACAACATTAAAGAGAATATTGGTAGAAGTTATCCATCAAGATCAAGCAGGATTCCTCCCGAAGAGGTATTTAAGATCCAATGTGAGGAACCTCATTAAGTGTCTGAAATATTATGAAGCACGCCCAGCTAAACAGACGGCAATTCTCTTCATTGATGCAGAGAAAGCATTCAATAATATAAATTGGAACTACTTCAAGATATCACAATTAGAAGAAATAGGGACAAGTCAGAATTTCACTGAAATAATAAAGATTATCTATTCCAAACAGACAGCAAAGATAAGAATCAATAGAGAATGTACATAAGAAATAGTAACACAGAAAGGAACACAACAAGGCTGCCCATTATCACCATTACTTTTTAAAATGGTAATTGAAGTACTAATGCAGCAGATACAAATATCAGATAAAATTAAAGGTCTCAAAACACAAGGAGAAATATTCAAGGTTCAGGCCTTTGCAGATGATTTGCTTATAGTAGTTGAAGCCCCCAAGGAATCGATAAAAGCTCTAATGGTGGAATTAAAAGAATTTGGTGAAATGGCAGGGTTAAAAATAAACCACAAGAAAACAAAATTAGGACTAAAAACATACAAAAGCAGGAGACTGGTGAACTAATTACAAACTTCCAGGAAGAAAGGAAAGTAAAATTCTTGGGCATATTTTTTTACAAAGAAAGCAAGTACTCTCCTGAAAGATAATTATTTGAAATTGATAGAGGAAATTGAGAAAGACCTTTCTAGCTGGACAAATTTACAATTGTCAACGATGGGCAGAATTGTTACAATCAAAATGAATATTCTACCAAAACTCATATTCCTTTTTCAAACAATTCTGATTGTTTTAAAACAAACAATATTCAAGGAGCTTGAAAAATGCACTTCCAAATTCATCTGGCAGGGGGAAAAACTGGAATTAAAATCAAGCACTTACAAGACGTAAAAGTAAGAGAAGGAATGGGGCTCCTGAATTGGCTTCTCTACTATAGGGCATCTGCATTAGCATGGATTAAGGAGTAGATAACATTGGAAAATACAAGGCTCTTGAAATTAGAAGGATACGATTTGAAATGGGGCTGGTATGCACTCTTATGGTATAACAAGACTGAGGATTTTAAACAATTTAACAAGCATATATTAAGGAAGGCACTTCTGTGGATGTGGAATAAAGTGAAAAATCAAATGTACAGTGGTGCCTCACTTAACGATGATAATTAGTTCCAAAAAAATGCTGTTAAGCTATTTCATCGCTAAGCGAAACACAGTTTCCCATAGAAATGCATTGAAAACCGGATAATCCGCTCCAATGGGAAATAATTGCCATCCTTAAGCGAAAATCGACATCGGAAACATTGCTAAGCGAAACACGGTTCCCCAATTGAAATGCATTGAAACCTATTTAATGCATCTCAATGGGGGGGAATTACAACAAATTTAAAAAGAGTCGGAACAAAGTCGAATTAGTTTAACAAAGGGTTTATTAAGTGCACTTATGATTTCAACCATTCTAAACATTTTTAAACATTTAAAAACAGCCAACATGAGGCTGTCAAAACTATCGTTAAGCGAAACAGGGGGACCCAAACTGTCATCGCTATGCGAAGCATGGTCCCAAACATCGCTATGCAAAAATTGCCCATAGGAACCATCATTAAACAGAGCGCAAGATGACTCCGAAAAAGTCATCGCTAAGCGATTTCATCGTTAAACGAAGCAATCGCTAAGCGAGGCAACACTGTATATCAAAACACCACACTGGGTTTAAGCGAGGCACCACTGTATATCAAAACACCACACTGGGTGATGCCAATTGAAGCATATGCTCTACCATATCTGAGAAAAAAATAAGAAAATAGCAAAATATAGGGAAGTTTTAAATCTTGATGGCTCTATCAAAACACAACAAGAGTTAGTAGATCTAGGCACCAAAAAGGAATGGTGGGCATGATCACAATTATTATCAAGGTTTGATAAAGATAATTAAAAGGGCTTTCACTTAGAAAATACCCCCTTTGGCAGAATTCTTCTAGAATCAGAGGGAAAATATATTAAGTTATTATATAATTTTCTGTTAGATTTAGAAACACAAGATAAAGTGGTAAAGGCATATATGATTAAATGGGCACAGAATGTAGGACATAATATTGAACTGGATCAATGGGAACAAATTTGGAAAACAAATACTGTATAAAATTAACTAAATCTGTTGTATTTAAAGAGAATATATACAAAATGTTCTACAGATGGTGCATGACCCCCACAACACTGGCTAAAATAAGCACCTAGATTTCAAATATATGTTGGAAATGTAAACAGAAAGAAGGAACATTTTATCACATGTGGTGGATGTACAAAGACACCCGAAGATACTGGAGTAAAGTGAATCAGATGCTACAAGAGATATTAGCAACTTCAATACCGATGGTACCAGAACTATTCCTATTAAATACTTTGCCAGATATACTACACTCTGAAAAATCCTATTTAATTATTCATATTATAACAGCAGCAAGAATAGTTTCTGCAGAACACTGGAAGGAACCTGGAACACCGCAGATAGATGAAGTGATAGATAAAATCCTTGAAACTGCAGAAATGGATATACTATCAGATTGGCTAGATGCAAAAAAGAAAAAAGACCATCAGAAAATTTGGTCACAATTGTATACATGGTTACAAGGTAAATAGAATAATGGACTGTTATTTGTATGGCTGCAGAAGAGAGAGAATAAATGACGGATAAACACTATCAGCTACATAATCAATAATTAGAATAACAATATATCTATCTGGATTTGGTTTTTCACTCTCGCTCACTGTTTATATTTCTTATGATATGTGGAACTATTACTAGAAGAGAATGTATAGAATAACGATGAAAAATATGGATTTGTAATGTATCTGTTCAAATCGACCCCCTCCGAGGGTACCCCTATCCCAGCTGCCCCTTACCCTACCTTTATAAGGAAAATAAAAAATTTAAATTAAAAAAATATATGATAGAATCAGCTCAGTATGTGTAAGGGGCATTTTACTTTTCAAAATAATATTGTAATATTAATTATTCAGCTGACGAACAAGGATAATTTTATTTAAGTTACTGTGGATTTCCCATGGTCAAAAATGATACTTAAATCCTGCCATGCCTCTCCTTCTACAGAGACATAACTTCAGATGTCAGAGTCACAGAGATCTTCAAAATGATATTTCAAAGAGACCTTCAAAATTGTTCGTTCAGCACTTCCCAGAGGGATCAGGTATTGAATGCAAAGGTCTTCTAGTGGTAACCACAACTCTGAAATTCCCTAATGATGCTCAGCATCCAGTTGACGGAACTCCTTTGTGCAGCTTACATTTCCCACTCAAGGATACTAGAAATTTAAGTAAGTGTTGACCTATGAGTTCCCATTCCCTGGGCAACAGTCATCAAATCGAAGACAACACTTCCTCTTGAGAAGTTAAGTCAATACGGTACTAAGGGAAGGGGCACCCAGCTTCCCAAACAGGCCTTGCCCAGCTGTCAAAGAATAAGTTTACACTGACCCTTGGAGTTCATTGAAAACGAAAAAACTAAAAACAAATGTGCCCAGTTGTAAGGACTGTCACTTCCCAGTGCCTAGGGAGAACAGGAATGTGAGAATGCTTGGCAAGCCAAATACATGAAGACAACATAACGGACCAGTAAATAAATACATAAATAATCATCAGAGCTGGACATGTTGTTCAGGTACAGTGGTGCCTTGCTTAACGAGTGCGCCGCAGAACGACGAAATCGCATAGCGATGAGGTATTTGTGATCGCAAATGCGATCGCATACCGATGGCCCCTATGGGCAAAACTCGCATTGCGAAGATCAGTAAGCATTTTGCTTACCAATCTTCGCATTGCGATGTCGGGGGAACAGCTGATCGGCGGTTCCAAAATGGCCGCTGGAAGCCCCAAAATGGCCGCACGCAGCATTTTCGTGCCCTGCCCTCGATTACCGAGGTCGCGAAAATGGCTGCTGGACCCTGGAAACATCGCTGAACTGTGAGTTTAATGCATTCCAATGGGCTTCCCGTTCCGTACAGCGATGTTTTCACATAGCGAGGGTTAATCCGGAACGGATTAACCTCGCTATGCGAGGCACCACTGTATATGGCTAAGACACTACTGGACATGGATGAAACAAAAAGCCCCACCAGTGTACAGTGGGGTCTTGACTTGAGAACTTAATCCGCATTGGAAGGTGGTTCTCAAGTCAAAATGTTCTCAAGTCAAATCTGCATTTCCCATAGGAATGCATTGAGAACCATTTGATCCGTATCTGCTCTTTTCCGTCCATAGAACAGGCAGTACAGTACCAGGCAGTCCGAAGACTGTCTCCCAATCCACTCTCTAAACGCTGGGAGGAGTGAGGAAGCAGACAGGCACCCTTTTCACTGGCCAACAGTTAACTGAAAGTTCACATTTTGCACTTTCCCTGCCTCCCACATGGTTTTTTTTCAGTTCTTAACTCAAATCTAAGTACTTAAGTCAAGTCAATATTTTCCTATGAGAGCGGTTCTTAAGTCAAAATGTTCTTAACTCAAACCGTTCTTAAGTCAAGACCCCACTGTACCTGCTCTGGATCACTCACTCGCAGTTGTTCCACAAATAGTGGTCACTGTCAACACAATGTGATATCCGCTTGTGTAAATGGGCACTAGATGCCTCTGCATACAAGCACCAAAAACATCAGGTGCTTGTATCAGACTCTGTTATATGAGCAGTCAGACCCAGTAAGATCTTATATCTAGATTCCAACCAGAAACTTTAGCAGCTCAGATGACCAGGCACCTGGGGTTTTTCCAATCTCATAGCAACTAGAATAACAAAAATCTGGAACAGTACAAATTACTTCTGCTTACAGGAACATCCTGATATTACTATATTACTCACTTCATTACTTACCTATAGCTGGCATGTTGGAGAGCGCTATGTAGGTGGGATGATGAACAATCCTGATTTTAAAGGTAGCTTTCATAGCAGGGTCATCAAAGCATGGATAGACTGTCCTTGCATCTACTGGTTCTAGTTGTGATGCAATTAGCCATCTAAAGCAAGAACATGAATTGGGTTAAGTTCATTTAACCTGGCCCAGCCCTGCACATGGAAAGGACCTCCCAACGCATACCTTCAAGAGGGTGCTGCAGGGACAATTCGCCAACATGGTTCAGTAACAGCATCTGTGCACACACAGCCTTATAAAATGAGCAACAAACAGCACTCATGTTTGGGGTGAAAAAGTGAGGGGTGAAAGAGTTACTGTATATAGCAGCACATTAGATGAAGCGCAGCATAACTGGGCAGAATAACTGATCTTTGTCACCTGCTTTTAAAGAGTCTAAATGAGCGACAGACGGCTTCTGTATTCACTGTAGCTACTCTGCTCTTCAGACAATACATGCTGCAACACCACTGCTGTATTTCACACATGACTCACTTGACCCGATGTATTTTCCTAACATATATCCAAAAAAAAGTAAGCCCCTTAACAATATTCAAATAACATGCCTCATCGGGGTGGTCATGGTAGTTACTGGGTTCCAGCCTTAATTCCATACAGGCACAGAAAAACCTACAGGGAGCAAAGCCCACTGAGATGCTGGCTTTGCTCCTCCTTCACCTCCCTTCACCTTAAAGAGGGACCAAAGTGCACTCAGGAATCAGCATCAAGTTTGTCTCGAGTGTCAGCTGAGTGTACTGTACTTTGCTGGTCCTTCCTCTCCCTCATCAGGGGATCTGGTGGGGGTGGTGGCAAGAGAGGCCTTATCTGCAGACCTAAATGCCAAATTGGTGAGTCTTGGAGGCCACATCTGGCCCATGGACTTGGGGTTCCCCTTCCCTCCTGTGCACCTTCTCCCCAACACAGACAGCTGAGGTGCAGAAGCCATTTGGATGCAAGGGTCCCATCAAATGGCCTGCCAGATCTCTTAGTGATCCCATCCAGCCTGATGCAGCCCTCTTCAGGCTGTAGACCCGAAGTAGACCAGCCCTTAGCCTGCTGATGGGCTTTTTTCTATCCTAGGAAGAATACTGCACACATGGGGGGCAGGAAGGCACCTTCCCTGTTCTGTCAACCCTTTAGCCTGAGCTGAACTGCACAACGGAGCAGTCTGATCTGTTTTTTCTTATTGAGAACAAATGCCCTTAAACTGGAAATGGGGGGGGGCGTCTAAAGTTTAATCAACAATGTTCATTTCTCTTCTTCGTCTTCCAACATTTTGAGTATAACAACACCCTCATAGCTCAGTGGCTTAGGCATCTATCTGGTCGGGAGTTCGATTCCCCACCGCGTCTCCTTGACAGGGGCTGGACGCCGTGGCCCATAGGGTCCCTTCCAAGCTCTGCTCGTTTTCGGATGGTCTTCGCAGGAGGAAGCCAGCTAGGGACGCCGCTTGTTTCAGCCCTACCTCGTGCCCTGCAAGACGAGCTGACCGCAGCGTTCGCCAGCCCGGCTCAGCCACGTGGCTGCGGCGGGACGGCGGGTCCGCCTCGGGCCCCTTTCGGTCACCGCGGGCCCCTTTCGGTCACCGCAGTGTCCCCCCCCCCACTCCCGGGAGAAGACGGCCTGAGCGAGGAGCGCCCCACCTGCTCTCGCCTTCGTCCTCATACTTGTTCAGGAAGAGGCCGCGGAAATCCGGCTCCCCGTGGATCGTCCCCTGGAAGGCGAAGCGCAGCTGGTAGAGGGCGCCGGCGGTCAGGTTTTCGCGCAGCTCCA